TCAAGTTCTGTCCTTTGTCCCATACCTGTGAAGATAAGCTATCAATTTACATCGCCTAGGTGAAATTCAACAGAACTGTTTTAGGGTACAGATTTTGGGGTCCTTGTGGGCAAATAGTGAGGGGGCTGTGTAGCACTTTTTTTTTTTAAATGGAGTCTCACTCTGTCGCCAGGCTGGAGTGCAGTGGCACAATCTTGGCTCACTGCAACCTCCACCTCCCAGGTAGCTGGGACTGCAGGCACGTGCCATCACGTCCATCTAAATTTTTTTGGTATTTTTAGTAGAGACGGGGTTTCACCATGTTAACCAGGATGGTCTCAGTCTCCTGACCTTGTGATCTGACCGCCTTGGCCTCCCAAAGTGCTGGGATTACAGGGGTGAGCCACCACACCCAGCCTATGTAGCACTTAAAAAAAAAATCTTTGCAACTATCTTATTTAGAGAAAAATTGGGAGGCAAATTGCATGATGCAGTCCCCAGCTCGACTTTTCCCTTTGGCTTCGTGAGTTGACCATCAGAAACTGCCGTATAAGAGAAGATTGTATCTTTTCAAATTTTTCTTTAAGTTCTGGGATACATGCGCAGTACATGCAAGTTTGTCACACAGGTATACATGTGCAGCGGTAGTTTGCTGCACCTATCAACCTGTCACCCAGGTTTTAAACCCCACATGCATTAGGGATTTGTCCTAATGCTCTTCCTTCCCTTGTTCCTACCCCAGCAGGCCTCAGCCTGTGAAGATCCCTCTCCCTGTCCACGTGTTCTCACTGTTCAACTCCCACTTAGGAGTGAGAACATGCAGTGTTTGTTTTTTTGTTCCTGTGTTAAGTTTGCTGAGAATGATGGCTTCCACCTTCATCCATGTTCCTGCAAAAGACATGAATTCATTCTTTTTTATGGCTGCATAGTATTCCATGGTGTGTATGTGCCACATTTTCTTTATCCAGTCTACCGTTGATGGACATTTGGTTGGTTCCAAGTCTTTGCTATTGTGAACAGTGCTGCAATAAACATACATGTACACACATCTTTATAGTAGAGTGATTTATAATCCTTTGGGTATATACCCAGTAATGGAATTGCTGGGTCAAACAGTATTTCTGGTTCTAGAGCCTTGATGAATCACCACACTGTCTTCCACAATGGTTGAACTAATTTACATGCCCACCAATAGAGTAAAATCATTCTTATGTCTCCATATCCTCACCAGCGTCTATTGTTTAAAGAAGATTGTAGTTATAAGTCACTCAGTTTGGGGGTACTTTTTTATGTGGAAAGATATAACTCGTACAGCCTATGAGCCATCAATGCCACTTTTCAGAGACATCCAAAGAACACATACATGTTCAAAATTCGAGAAGTACTCTGATAGATTTGTACTTTCTAGCTCACATATAAAAATAAAACAGGGGCTGGGCGCAGTAGCTCACACCTGTAATCCCAGCACTTTGGGAGACCCATGTGGGCGGATCACTTGAGGTCAGGAGTTCATGACCAGCCATGTCAACATGGGTAAACCACACCTCTACTAAAAATACAAAAAATAGCAGGACATCGTGGCACATGCCTGTAATCCCAGCTACTTGAGAGGCTGAGGCAGGAGAATCGCTTGAATCCAGGAGGCAGAGGTTGCAGTGAACCGAGATCAGGCCACTGCACTCCAGCCTGAACGACAGGGCAAGACTCTGTCTCAAAAAATAAATAAATAAATAAATAAAACATTGAAAGTCTAAAATGAGGAAGCTATTAAATAAACTCTGGTACATTCATGTTCTTTAATATGAGAAAATATCCCCAGAAAGTACTTGTGATTAAGAAAACCAATTGGCGGTATTTATGTAAAATAGTAGTACAGAATTAACACTGTCTGTTAATGGCCGGTGCAATAGCAAGATCTGGAGAGGGTTAATTCTGTAGTGTCTGTTACTGTCCATACTCCCCTCCACCTTAAATATATATTACGTGGTCTGGAAAGATACAGCTCCAATTAATGAAGGGATATGTTGATTCCAACCCGGTATGAAACAAGGAATAATTGATGGGAATGTATTACCATCCATATTCCTTACATATTTTACAAAATTGTTACCAATATGAGTTATTAAGCAGAGTGAAAATTTAAAAGTTTTCAAGTTTAGGAATACATTTCTTTAAACTTTTAATCCTGGCCATCTCAGTTATTTACTAGAATGGGTGTGTCAGGAAAAGGAAAACTTTCATTTTCTACTTCTGAATTTTATTTTATCCCTAACATTGCATCTTTAGAAAATTACACATCCAGAAATAAATTCCATTTCATCATGGAAAAAAAAAGTGACATCATCTTTTTTTTTTTTGAGACGGAGTTTTGATTGTTACCCAGGCTGGAGTGCAATGGCGCAATCTTGGCTCACCACAACCTCCGCCTCCTGGGTTCAGGCAATTCTCCTGCCTCAGCCTCCTGAGTAGCTGGGATTACAGGCACGCGCCACCATGCCCAGCTAATTTTTTGTATTTTTAGTAGAGACGGGGTTTCACCATCTCTACTAATGTTGACCAGGATGGTCTCGATCTCTTGACCTTGTGATCCACCCGCCTGGGCCTCCCAAAGTGCTGGGATTACAGGCGTGAGCCACCGCGCCCAGCCTCTTTTTTTTTTCTTTTTCGAGAAGGAGTCTAGCTCTGTCATGCAGGCTGGAGTTCAGTGGAGCGATCTTGGCTCACTATAACTCCCACCTCCCGGATTCAAGCAGTTCTCCTGCCTCAGCCTCCTGAGTAGCTGGGATTACAGGTGTGTGCCACCACGCCTGGCTAATTTTTGTATTTTTAGTAAAGACAGCCTGTGTTGGCCAGGCTGGTCTTGAACTCCTGACCTCATGATCCGCCTGCCCCGGCCTCCCAAAGTGCTGGGATTACAGGTGTGAGCCACCGTGCCCAGCCCCAAAAAATGACATAATCTTAGGACATGTGCATTTTGAAGCTTTCAGCAGAAAAATCAGAGGACGAAATTCTCACACTTCCCTTCTGACAGCCTTACATGTGGCTATACCCCCATCCCGGGGAATTAGACTCTCCAACCTACAGTGTTTATGTTCTACCACCAAGAACCATGCTCATACACTCAAAACTTTTTAATACACATATGTATTCATATATGTAAAATAAATAGAATTTTATACATGTGTATGTTTATATGTAAATACGTATTTTTATGCTAAAATGCACTCATTTTTTTCACCCTTCACCTGTTATCAGATGTAATTCCCAGTTATAAACACAGAGACCCAAAGAGGCAGTGGATAAACCTTGGTTTACTCAGATACTACCTTAGGGGCTCATCTTCTGTTGGGGAGCCCCCAATCAATCAGTATCCTCTCTGGGCCCAAGAGAAATCACTTCAGTGGGCCAGAAGAATTGCTGAGCACATATATTGTTCAAAATACTCTTCAAGGCTGGACCCGGTGACTCATTCCTGTAATCCCAGCACTCTAGGAGGCCTAGGAAAGCGGATCATGAGGTCAAGAGATGGAGACCTCCTGGCCAACATGGTGAAACCCCGTCTCTACTAAAAATCCAAAAAATAAGCTGGGCGTGGTAGGGTGTGCCTGTAGTCTCAACTACTTGGGAGGCTGAGACAGGAGAATCACTTGAACCCAGGAGGTGGAGGTTGCAATGAGCCGACATCGTGCCACTGCACTCCAGCCTGGTGACAGAGCGAGACTTCGTCTCAAAAAGAAAAGAAAAGGAAAGAAAAAAGAATACTCTTCGAAATAACCGAGAATAAAGACTTTACTAACTGAAGTCCAGATTCAGTGGCTAACAGCCTATAACCTCAGCACTTAGTGAGGTCCAGGTGGGCAGATCACATGAGCTCAGGAGTTTGAGACCAGCCTCACTAACATGGTGAATCCTTGTCTCTACTAAAAATACAAAATTTAGCTGGGCATGGTGATGGTCGCCTGCAATTCCATCTACTCGGGAGGCTGAGGCAGGAGAATCACTTGACCCAGGAGGTGGAGGTTGCCATGAGCTGAGATTGTGCCATTGCAACTCCAGCCTGGGAAACAGAGAAAGACTCCCTCTCAAAATAATAATATAAAATAATGATATATTAGTTATTAATAAAAGGCAAAACACAAAATACCAACTCTAATAAATCCAGTACTTGGATTTATAATTTATCTCAAGAAATGTGCATTAGAATAATAAAGAAAGGAAAATACATTTGTATGGCTACAAGCAGAAATGTTTGTTCTTTTAAAGCCTAGCCTCAGCCCTCCACCTGCACAAGCCTGGCCCCATAAAATCTCTGGAACTCAGCCCATGGAGCATCTTTGCCTCCTGGGTGACTGGGGAACAGAAATGAAAATTATGTTCCAGTGAAAGTCAATATAAAAATTGTACACTCCGCACAGGTACAAAAATGCATCTCATTCCAGTTTCTGTCACCTACGCAGATAAGTTCAGCTTTCGCTTAAATAAAAATTCTAGGGCCGGGTGCGGTGGCTCACGCCTGTAATCTCAGAATTTTGGGAGGCCGAGGAGGGCGGATCACCTGAGGTCAGGAGTTCAAGACCAGCCTGGCCAACATGATGAAACCCCATCTTTAAAAATAAAAAAAATTCTAAGCGTCCAGCGCTCAGAAGTTCCTGGATCCAAGCTCTGCTCCACGCCGTCGCCCTCTCCCACCCCCCAGGTCCCAGCTCTCCCCCTGCCTCGCACGAGGCTCCTCCATCTCTCGCAGAAACGTTTTCACGCCAACCTTTTCCAACTTAAGCTTTGATTCCAATATAAGGGGCCCACGGGTGTCTAGATTTTTGCTTAGCCAAGCCCCAAAGGACACAAAAGAGATTCAAGGGACTCCAAAAGAGAAGAATCGGGTCCTGCCGGGTGACTGACACCTAGAAAAGTCCCAGGCCGCGGCGAAGGCAGGCCCAGCAGTCGGACCCGTAGGCCCCGCCCCCGCCACTGACCCCGCCCATTCTGCCATTGTTCCCGCCCATCCCCGCCATTTGCCCGCCCATCCCCGCAGGTGTCGGCGCCGTGCTCCTTCCCTGGCCCTTTGTGTCGCCCTAATGCGCTTGCGCACTCGCAGTTTCCGGCAGATCCGGAAGTGGATCTCGCGGGCCGACTGGCACGCTCGGGTGAGCCTCAGTCTTTCGGGTTCAAGCCTGCGCTTCGCGGGCCTTAGGTGCCCACGCTCTGATTTAAAGTTTTGAGGTCGCCCCGTAGGTTAAAATCCCGAAGCTGCTGGTTCCTCTCGCGGCGTGGCCCTAAGACGTTCCCAGTCCCGTCGCTCCGAGACGGTCTCAAGGTCTCCGTCCATTTCGGATTTAAAATCGTTCTGAAGGGGGTGCCTATGGCTCCAATCTTTTTGCCTTAGAGTCGGTTTGGACACCGGCTGCCCAACGCGTCGTTTCTCTGCTTAGAACACTTTTCTGACTCCCTCTTCCCTCCCCCAGGTAAAGCCCTCACTCGGGATGGCTACACACCCTTCGCCCCCCTCCAGGGAGAGCAGAGGGAAAGCAGAAACGGAGGAGAAAGAGGAAGAAATGCGGGGAATTAGCAATCAGAAAGAAGAGCAAGGACTGGAAAAAAGGATGTTACCAGGTTGGGGCCAAACACGCTGTCAGAAAAGGAGTAGAGAGGAAGGGAAGGAAAATAAGCAGAAATGGACAGGAAATCTCAGAAGTGGGAAAAACAGGAGGAAAGAAACAGAAGGTGGGAGAGAGACGTTTACAGAAAGGTGAGATCCAAGGGATCCAGGTAAATATGGAGTGGATTAAATATGGAACATTAAGTTGTGAAGTATTAACGTGTGGCTGTATAATTCATTTAAAATTTGTTTCATTGTTTTTTCAGAAGATAATGAAAACTGCGAAACGAGGGTGTGAAGCTTCTGACTTTTCTAATTATGACATCAGAAGCAACCCTTATTCAGCCGGAGGGTTAACTGACCCTCAGTTAATTCCAGCTCACCCTCTTCCCTTTCTCTGATCTTGAAAGAGGAGAGTCAAGGTATGGGAAGAGACTACGCCGTATGCTGCTTTTGCAAACAGATATTAACAATATTATTCCTTTCTTTTTTGTGTGTGGCTTGTGTCATTTTCTAAATTTCTAAATTTGATGTATACTCAAACTTTCTGATTACAGACTTGTCTTGTAATCCCAGAATTTACTGGATTTAAAAATTTTTTTCAGATTATTTTCTCTTAAATGTATTGTTCAGCTCATGAGGTTTAAATGCTTTTTCTTTTTTTTCTTTTTTCTTTTTGAGACAGAGACTCACTCTTTTTTTTTTTTTTTTTTTTTTGAGACGGAGTTTTGCTCTTGTTACCCAGGCTGGAGTGTGCAGTGGCACGATCTCGGCTCACCACAACCTCCACCTCCTGGGTTCAAGCAATTCTCCTGCCTCAGCCTCCCGAGTAGCTGGGACTACAGGCGCACACCACCATGCCCAGCCAATTTTTGTAATTTTAGTAGAGACAGGGTTTCACCTTGTTGACCAGGATGGTCTCGATCTCTTGACCTCGTGATCCACCCGCCTTGGCATCCCAAAGTGCTGGGATTATAGGCGTGAGCCACCGTGCCCGGCCCAAACTTGTCTTAAATGTAATCCCAGAATTTACTGGATTTTAAAAAGTTTTTTAGATTATTTTCTCTTAAATGTATTGTTCAGCTTATGAGGTTTAAATGCTTTTTCTTTTTTTTTTTTTTGAGACAGAGACTCACTCTTTTACCCAGGCTGAAGTGCAGTGGCTTGATCTTGGCTCACTGCAACCTCCCCCTCTTAGATTCAAGTGATACTCCTGCCTCAGCCTCCTGAGTGGCTGGGATTACAGGCACGTGCCACCATGCCCAGCTAATATTTTGTATTTTTAGTAGAGATGGGATTTTCACCATGTTAGTCAGGCCGGTCTCGAACTCTTGACCTCAGGTGATCCACCTCAGCCTCCCAAAGTGCTGGGATTACAGGCGAGAGCCACCACGCCCGGCCTAAATGCCTTCTACTTTTTATCATATATTGGAACTATTCTTTGATGTCTGGTACCTGATTTCAGGTTTCATTCTAAGGATGTTGATAATCTTTTAACACTGAAAATCTGGTTCAACCAGTTAGTTTAATACAGTTGACCTTGAACAACAGAAATTATCAGATAGACTCCTGGTCAACTCTGGGCTATCAGTAAAGTTTTTGGGGAATCAAAAGTTGTACCTGGATTTTTGACTGGGCGGTGTTTATTGCCAGTATCACTGGCATTGCTCAAGGCTCAACTGTATTCAGTTTCTTTGTTCCCTTATTAATCTGAAGCCTCCCATTAAGTAGATGTTCACCCAAGTCCCCTTTGTCTTTTCTCTGCAAGATGTTGAAGAAGGGGCTGGATTGATGGGGAATTTTGTTCCAACAGAGCCCATCTGTTCATAATGAAGAGATTACTCAGAACTGATCTCCACAGCTGACCCCTTCTCATGCTTTCCAAGAGTAATAGCTATTTGTAATCTCATATTTTTAAATATTTTTCTGGAAGAAAGGAATTAAATCCTTGGGATTGATTAAACCCATGAAATAGAAGCTTCTATTCAGGAATATGAATGGTAATCTGGAAATAAGGACAAACCTTCCCTACTGCCCTATCCAGGCCACCCTTTCAGAATTCATTTACAACTGAGTTCTGCTCACTCAACTCAGACCTTTTCTGGGTAATATGGTGAAATGTCTCCTCTCTTTGAGGCTCAGTGTGCCCACCTGTGACGTGGAGATGATAGATATACCAGAAACTATGATTCTGAGCTGATGGGATCCCTGAATTGATTTTCAGAATTGAGGATGTATCTGCATGTGGTGATATTTTGAGAGAGGGTGCCCAGTTATAGTCTTCAGTAGCTCTCAGACCTCCAAATATGACGGAAACTACTAGGAAAGGGGTCGGGGCATGGGCTTAGAGACAAGAGAGCTGCTTCTCTCTCAGCATTTTATTCTTTTTCCCAACTCTGCATTAGGAGTAAGTCCTGTTTTATTTTGTCATCTCCCGGCATTAAACCCATTTATGCTTTTACTGTGGGACAGTATTGCCTGTGGGACAAAAATCTGAACTATTTAGTATGGCTGCAACAGGGATTTCTGGAGCTGTGGTAGCTCTTCAGATGTTCCAATCTGAGGCTTTTATATCCTGCATTGACCAGTCATTAGATGCTGGCTGCCTAGGGAGAGGCCATGAACTTGGACACAGCAGTTTTTCTTGGCTGAGTGTCACATAGACAAAGGACAATGCAATTGAAGCAGAATGTGCGTTTCACCAAGGAGGGAGAAGTTTTCGAAGACCTGGGTGGAATAACTCTCTATTCTCTCTTCAGGAGTTTATTTTTTTCATGAGTTCATTTTCCCTCTTGTTGCCGTGGAAGCTAAGGTCTATCTTTTTTCTGTATTAAGCCTCTGCTGTGTGTGTGTGATTGAGGAAGGGAGTATGTTGATTTTAAGCATTAAATGACGTATTTTTGACATACAGACTGATCTCTTACCTGAGAAAGAAACCCAGAGGAAGAAGAAAGAAAGAAGAGAAAGGAATGATTGTTTCTCAGGTAAAAAGTATATTCATGGTTGATTGTTCTGTCCTCTCCTTCCTGAAATGCCATCTTTTGGACTTGCTAATTTTCTCTGACTCTGAAGTGTCCTGCCTAACATGTATATTCTCACCCAGGGCTTTCCCTCAGTTCCATCTCCACATAGATTCCATCTCACTGTGACCCAGTAACATTAGAACTTTGGAAAAGGCTCCACTTACATGATTGTTCTGGAAAGGGTTTTATACCCAGGTATGGATTGGATATGGGGAGCAGGCCCCATGGTGTCAGCGAGGTTGGGTGGGAGTGACTGTTCAGAGACTTCATTTGGATGCCATTTCAGCTCTTTATAAACCAGGAGTAAGGGAACTGCATAAGTGATACATTAATGCGCACAAATACCTGGAAAGCTTTGGAAAAGAAGACCTCTGGGGGGAACTTTGGTTGAGTTGATAATACATTTGAAGCTAAACAATTGAATTGGTGTGTTTTTAGCTCTAAAATAATAATTTGGAATAGAATGGGAGGTTCAGAAACAGACATTGGGGGTGGAGAAGGTAGTCTTTTTTTATCATTGGTTTTAAAATATGGAATCAACCTAATTGTGTAACAGCAGGCGGTTCTTTAAATTCTTCACAGTGCGTATATGTCATGAAGACCCTGCTGTTCATTTAGGAATTCTTTTGCAGCAGATGTTTAGATAAAAATGTGTGTAATAGTTTGTTTTTTCATTTAAGTTCAGGGTTAGGTTTGTTATATAGCTAAACTTGTGTTGTGGGGCTTTGTTGGATAGATTATTTCATCATCCAGGTGTTAAACCTACTACCCGTTAGTTATTTTGCCTGATCCTCTCCCTCTACCCACCCTCCACCTTCTGGTAGGCCCCACTGTGTGTTGTTTCCCTTCATGGGTTCATGGGTTCTTATCATTTAGCTCCCACTTGTGAGAACATGCAGTATTTAGTTTTCTGTTCCTGTGTTAGTTCGCTAAAGATAATGGGCTCCAGCTCCATCCATGTTCCTGCAAAGGACATGATCTCATTTTTTTTTAAATGGTTACACAGTATTCCATGGTGTATATGTACCACATTTTCTCTATCCAGTCCACTGTTGATGGGCATTTAGGTTGATTCTATGTCTCTGCTATTGTGAATAGTGCTACAGTGAACATATGCACGTATGTGTGTATTCATGCATGTGTGATGGGATTGCTGAGTCGAATGGGAGTTCTGTTTTTAGATCTTTGAGGAATCGCCACCTGGTCTTCCACAAAAGTTGAACTAATGTACATTTCCACCAACAGTGTGTAAGTGTTCCTTTTTCTCCATAACCTCACCAGCATCCGTTTTATTGTTTTTGACTTTTTGATAATAGCCAAAAGGTTCTGGGCACAGTGGCTCATGCCTGTAATCCCAACACTTTGGGAGACTGAGGTGGGCAGATCACCTGAGGTCAGAAGTTCCAGACCAGCCTGACCAACGTGGTGAAACCTTGTCTCTACTAAAAATATGAAATTAGCTGGGCATGGTGGCACATGCCCATAATCCCAGCTACTTGGGAGGCTGAGGCAGGACAATTGCTTTAACCTGGGAGGTGGAGGTTGCAGTGAGCCAAGATTGCGCCATTGCATTCCAGCCTGGGCAATGAGAAAAACTCTGTCTCAAAAAATAATCATAATAATTTTAAAATAATAGCCAAAAGATGGCTATAATGTAGCTAAGACTTATGAGCAGCACTTTCTGTCATCAGAGAGGTAGGAGCCAAATTCTGATTACTTGTTGTTAAATATTACATTTCTTTTGTATTAAACATCACATGATATATATTTTTTATCGATAAAATGTCACACAATGATGCTTAGGGACTAAGAAGTAAAACCACGTTGTCCACCATCACTCACTGTCTCCACCAGGAACTACTGATCATTCTTCTCAATGGAAGTCTTATAAAAATGCATTTATATATCATAATTTACTTTTAGAAAATGTTAAGTGAATATTTTGTTGTGATATTTTGTTTTGCAAATTTATATATTTGTATGCTGTATGTCTTTATTTTGTTTTTATGCTGGTAAATAGGGATAACTTGAGTTTTTCCTTTCTCATTGGAACATTCCCTTACTGAAGACATATCAGCTTTACAGCTTTTCTCTGTGATAAAGAACCTGCCTTGGCTGCCTCTGAGCAGGCCAACTGTACTACAGCTGTGTGAGGATTCCTCCAGGTTGGGCACCTTGAAGCATGGTACCTGGCTTAATAATGATGTTTCTGAGGAAGCTGAGACATTGCACTTACTAAAAGATACTTTCAATGAACTATCTTAACCATGCCCAGAGAGCTGAAGTAAATGGTGGACAAAGAACTAAAGGAAAGTAGGACAACAGTGTTTCAAGGAATTATCAGTAAATACATGGAAATTATTAAAAAGAAGTGAAATAGAAGTTTTGGAGCTGAAAAGTATAACATGAAAATTTTATGAAGTTTCAAGAGCAGATTGACAATACAGAATCAGCTAACTTAAACTTTAGGTTAATTGAAATTATTTAATCTGAGCAGAAGAAAGTGAAAAGAAATGAAATGTAAGAAAGCTTTGGGACACCATGAAGCATATGAATGTATGCTTAATAAGAATTTCAGAAGAAAAAGCAAAAGCAAAAAGCAGAAAGAATATATGAAGAAATAAGACCTGAAACCTCCCAAGTGTGTAAAGAACATGAATCTCTCTACCCAGGAAGCTCGGTGAACTTTAATTGTGATAAACTCATAGAGATCCACAGCAAAACACATAATCAAACTGTGGAAGGAAAAGATCACCGTGATAGTAGCAAAATAGAAATGATTTGTCATGTACAGTGATCCTCAAAAAGATTAACAGCAATTTCTCAGCAGAAACTATGGAGGCCAGAAATTAGTGGATGACATACTCAAAGTTTGAAAGAACTGTCCAGCAGGGATTCAGTATCAGGCAAGTGATCCTTCAGAATTGACCATGAAGTTGAGGTCCCCAGATAACAAGAGCTGAGGAGTTTGCCTAAGTGGACTTACCCTGCATGAAATGTTGAACAAAGTCTTTTAGGCTGAAATAAAAGGACACCAGCAGTACTTTAAAGCCATAAGAATAAATTCATAGAGGTAAAATACCTACATAGGTAAATATAAAAGCCAATATTATTGGTTTTTTAAAAACTTTTTTTGTATATGATTTAGAAGACATATGGGAAACAGTAATTGTCAGTGTGTTCCAATCTGGCTATAAAATGCATAGAGAGGTAATTTTTGGCATTATGAAGAGAGCCAGCCAGAGCTATATAGAAACAGAAGTTGTTACGCAATTGAAGCTAACTTAGCATCAATTGAAACTTAATTATTATCTTCTGATGTAAGTTTTAATCGCCAGGGCAACCATTAAAATAACAAAACTATAAAGAAGGGAACCAAAGTGGTATACACAAACTCATACATATACAAAGAAGGAAGAGAAGAATTACAAAGCAAAAAAGGTAAGACATCTAAAAAATAAGTAGCAAAATGGTAAAAGTAATTCTGTTACCAGTAGTTACTTTAAATGTAAGTGGATTAATTTCTCATTAAAAGGCACTTATTGGGAGAATACATAATTTTAAAACTATGATTTCACTATATGATGTGTGTAAAAGACTCCCTTTAGAGCCAAAGACACAGATAGGCTGAAAAATAAAAGGATGTAAAAAGGCATTTCATTGCAGATATTAAGCCTGGCTGGATCACTATACAGATAGCAGACAGATAGGCTTTTCCATCAATAATTGATAACAGAGATGTTGAAAGACAGTATATATTGGGGTTAATCCACCAAGAACATGTAACAACTATAAAAAAATATGGATCAAATATCAAAGCCTCAAGTAATTTGGAGCAAAAATTACAAGGAGATAGATAGTTCTATAACATAATTCAGTGCTCTCTTTTTATTAATGGATAGAACAACCAAGCAGAAGATTAGTAAGGAAATGAAGAGTTTGAGCAACACTTTACACCAAGCTTGTCTAACCCATGGACCACGGACTGCATGTGGCTCAGGATGCCTTTGAATGTGGCCCAATATAAATTTGTAAACTTTCTTAAAACATTATGAGTTTTTTTTTTAAAGCTCATCAGCTGTCATTAGTGTTAGTGTATTTTATGTGTGGCCCAAGGCAATTCTTCTTCTTCCAGTGTGGCCCAGGGAAGCCAAAAGATTGGACACCGCTGCTGTAAACTGACCACACTGAGCAGGCACAGAGAACTGCACTCAGCAAAAGCAGAGTGTGCACTCCTCTCAAGAGCACATAGAATGTTCTCCAGGTTAGACCACATGTCAGGCCACAGAACAAGTCCCAGTGCATTTTTAAAAGGTAGAACCCATAAAACCGTGTTCTCAAACCATCATCGAGTGAAATTAGAACATCAGTAACAAAACGAAAACTGAAAAATTCAGTTGTTTTTTTTTTTTTTGAGACGGAGTTTCACTCTTGTTACCCAGGCTGGAGTGCAATGGCGCGATCTCGGCTCACCACAACCTCTGCCTCCTGGGTTCAGGCAATTCTCCTGCCTCGGCCTCCTCAGTGGCTGGGATTACAGGCACGCACCACCATGCCCAGCTAATTTTTTGTATTTTTCGTAGAGACGGGGTTTCACCATGTTGACTGGGATGGTCTCGATCTCTTGACCTCGTGATCCACCCGCCTCGGCCTCCCAAAATGCTGGGATTATAGGCATGAGCCACTGCACCTGGCTGCCCAGCTAATTTTTATATTTTTAGTAGAGACAGGGTTTCACCATGTTGACCAGGATGGTCCCAATCTCTTGACCTTGTGATCCACCCACCTCGGCTGTCCAAAGTGCTGGGATTATAGGCGTGAGCCACCGCGCCTGGCTGAAAAATTTAGTTTTAAATGAATATTAATTACCTTGTTGATGTATGATTAACATAAAAAAGCTATATATGTGATGTATACAATTTAATGAGTTTGGAGATAAGTATACGCCTCTGTCATAAACATATCCATTGCCTCAGAAAGTTTCTTCCTGCCCTCTTGGTTATTTAATAATTTTGTAAGAACACAACATAAGAACTACTGTCTTAACAAATTTTTAAGTGCACAATACGGAATTAACTATAAGCACTGTGTTGTTCAGTAGATCTCCAGGACTTTTTAATCTTTAGTAACTGAAACTGATTACTACCTCACCATTTCCCCACCCTCAGCACCTAGCAACCGCCATTCTATTCTCTGTTCCTATGAGTTTTATTGTTTTCAGTTGCTCGTATAAGTGGAATCATGTATTTGTTCTCTGTGTGGCCTATTTCACTTATACTCCAGTTTCATTTAGGTTAGCTCTTACAAATAGCAGGATTTCCTTCTTTTTTAAGGCTGAATAATATTCATGGGTGTGTGTGCATGTGTGCGTGTACCACATTTTCTTTATCCTGTCATTCCTCTATGGACATTTAGTCATGACTTGGCTATTAAGAAGAAAGCTGAAATAAACATGGGAGCACCTCTCTCTCGTCAAGATCCTGATTTTAATTCTTTTGGATTTATACCCAGAAGTGGAATTACTAGATCACAGTCATTTTTCTGCACATCCTAGACATTGCTTGTCCTTTTTTTTTTGAATGGTCATCCTAATAGATGTGAGATTAAAATCATATTGTTTATTTGCACTTTCCTGGTGATTAGTGATACTGAGCACCTTTTCATGTACCTAATGGCCATTTTTATATTTTCTTTGGGGGAAAAATGACTGTTCAGCTCTCTTGTCCATTTTTTTATTGGGTTATTAGATTTTTGGCTCTTGAGTTGTAGGAGTTCTGTATATTTTTCGAATATTAACCTCTTCCCAAATATATAGTTTGCAAATATTCTCCCATTCTATAAGTTGCCTTTTTGTTTTATTGGTTGGTTCTTTTGGTTTGTACAAGTGTTTTGGTTTAATGTAGTCCCACTAGTCTGTTTTTGCTTTTCTTTCCTGCACTTTTGGTGTGATATCCAAGAAGTCATTGCCAAGATAATCTCAAGAACATTTTCCCCTATGTTTTCTTCTAGGAGTTTTACAATTTCAGGTAAGACTGAAGACCCAATTTACCTTGAGTCTTTAGTCAGTTTTGAGTTTATTTTTATTTATGGCATAAAATAAGCATCCAGTTTCATTCTTTCCATTTGGAGTACAGATTTCCTGGCACTATTTACTGAAGAGAGTATCTTTTCTCCATTGTGTATTCTTGACACACTTGTCAAAGATCAGTTGATTGTATATGTGTGAGTTTATTTCTGGGCTTTGTATTCTAGTGCTTATGTTTTGTATGTCTGTTTTATGCCAGTACCATACTGTTTTGATTACCATAGCTTTGTAATATACTTTGAAATCAAGAAATGTGATAGTACCAGCTTTGATGTTCTTGCTCAAAATTGCTTTGGCTCTTTGTAGTTCTATATGAATTTTAGGATTGTTTCTTATGTTTTTGTAAAAGGTGCTACTGTGATTTTGATAGGGATTGCATTGAATCTGTAGATTGCTTCAGATAATATGGACATTTTCATAATATTAATTTTCTGAGTTCTTGAACATAGAATATCTTTCCATTTATTTGTTTTGTCTACTTTAATTTTCTTCATTAGTATTTTATAGTTTGCAGCATGCAAGTCATTTACCTCTTGGTTAAATTTATTTCATGTTAAAGTCACATGGGGAGTAGCTGCTCCAAAACATTTCTTTTGGAGTTGATGAAAGTGTTTTTGAAGTAGACAGAGGTGGTGGCGTATAGCTTTGTGAATGTACTAAATGCCACTGAATTGTACTTTAAAATGGCTCATTTATATATTTTAAAATATATTTTAAAATGAAGCCTTGCTCTGTCACCTAGACTGGGGTGCAGTGGCATGATCACTGCCTCCTGCAGTCTCCACCTCCCAGGTTCAAGTGATCTCCCACCTCAGTCTCCTGAGAAGCTGGGACCACAGGCCCATGCCACTGTGCCCAGCTAATTTTTCATTTTTTTTTTTGTAGAGATGGAGTCTCACTTTGTTACCTACACTGGTCTCAAATTCCTGGGCTCAAGCAGTCCTCTTGCCTCAGCCTACCAATGTGCTGAAATTACAAGTGAGAGCAACTGTACCCAGCCTGAAATGACTAGTTTTATGTTATGTGAATTTCATCTCAGTTTAAAAAAATAAAATTAGGGATATGTAAGTTTCTTGCATTATCTCACACAAATCAGTCACAACACTGTGGCCAAATGAATATACCTCTCTTCTGTCATTTTGTATGAAAATAAGAACCTTCCCTGTGTCTACTTGAAGTGCATTTTTATTTCAGAGACTGTTTACATTCAGATGTGACCATAGAATTCTCTCGAGGAGTGGGAGTGCCTGGACCCTGCCCAGAGGGCCTTGCACAGGGACGTGATGTTGCAGAACTGCAGGAACCTCTGGATGAGGAAAATACCCCTCCAGAAAACCCTACCCACCCTCTTACACCTTTGCATTTTCCCTTGTGAGGCTCTTGGGAGCCCCGATTTGCTTGTCCGAATCTGATCCCTGTTCTAAAAGGGGAGATGGAAACTGTTTTGATTGAGAGTGGAAAGGCTTCCTAATGTGGCATGTAGACTTTCAACCTCCCCTTTCTCCGGAATTCTGCCATAGTCAGGTTTGATGAGTGGTGGTTCCTGAACATCAGGACTTAAAAACCTCATGGAAACTTTGTGAAGTGGCTGGTGTCATGGTTTTAGCCTTGTGCCTTTGATTCAGTAGTTTTTCAGAGTCTGCATATTTAAAGTAACCCTTTTTCCAGACCCATCGGTAATGTCCTCTCTTCATAGCTGAACAAAGGGCCGGGACTGTATCCAGGAAAAGCTCGGCATTCCAGGTTCCTTTCTTCTTAACAAGTTGAAATCTTTCCTGAGCTGAATATTATGTTCATTTTGGAGAAAAGGAATGAGTCCTGGACTGTGGAGAGTGAAGTGAAAATGGGGAAAAATTGGATAGTCAGAATGTGAGCACAAATAAGCGCTCAGATGGCCAAAAATAAGCTACTCCATTGAGTATTGTTTAGAAAACTCTGCAAATGGGAAACATCAATGGGGAAACAAAAGTTTATTTCTTGTGAGCTGTCAAAGAAAAGTTCACACCCCTCCCATTGTCCCCAGCACACTGTTATTCAAATGTGTGAAAGGTTGGACTACCACTCTCCGTGATGCCCCAGCTCATGCAGACACAGAAGCAAAGATGCCATCATGGCCTGCAGTACTCTTAGTCCCTTGGTTTTGAGAAGGACCGAGGTGATGGTTTTTAAGGACTCTCTTTTTGAATATTTAATTTTGTTTTTAGTCTGTACAGATCCAAACTGAGGCCTTTGTAGCCCTGGCTCCAGAACCGATTCCATTTTTATTCCCATTTCTTAACACCTGCAAGAACTCTTCAGGTAAATGGGGAAAACAGTGGCTCCCCCAGAATGTATCTGGGGTTCTCTGAAATTTTAAACACTTTCAGTCTCTCTACTTGTTCAGGCCTCTTGGCCATTGCTTCCGTTCTGCTTTTGCCATGTGTGTCTAAAGGGGAACAGGTAGACTTTGGGGATTGCTACTCAGCAGTAATGTAAGACTTGGCAGATCCTCTTTTTGACTGCCATTCCAAAACGGGAATATATCTCATTCTCTTCGGCTCTCAGCTTGCAGCCTGTGGACAGAACACACTGCCTCTTCTTAAGAATCCTACAAAATCCGACCTTTTTTTTTACCCTCATATCTTATATTGTCTCCCTTTTCTAGCTTTCTAACCTGTCCAGGAACTGAGAGAGACCTTGGTCTTCCTTATTTCATATTCTTCTAAGATTTGCCTCTGAAAGTGTCTTTTGAAGTACACATTCCTAGAGTCTGAAATTTCCTCCCTTTCTGCTGTGATAACAACCCACCAGTAGGTGATGGACAACTTTTGGCAGACTCTCACATGGAAGAGGTTTTCTTGGTGACAGAATATTCTTGAAAGAGAACATTGATTAATCTGTTAGAGTATCATCCTGCTACATACAGAAGTGCCTCTTGAAGCCACTGAGTAGAGTAGCCAGCATGCCCATTAGGCTGGCAGAGAATCAGGAGAGCCTGAGGAATAACTGCTTCTGTCCTTCTGGGTTTTGTGGACTTTACAGTGTCTCCCAGGGGCAGTGTGACAATGCTGATTAGATATATAATGATCGTCCCCTTGGAGTGGGCAGTACAAGGTGTAGGATTATCCTAGGGAGAATGTTGTCCGTTCACAACCTTGTATCTGAAAATGTCGACCAAACTGTTACTCATACCACATTGTTCTTCCCGTATGTGCAATTGTACATTTTTCTTCAGTGTGATTTTCAGGTTCTTGTTGAAGGAGCTTATAAAGTTGAATTATGGATGCATTTTTTTTTTTTTGAGACGGAGTTTTGCTCTTGTTACCCAGGCTGGAGTGCAATGGCGCGATCTCGGCTCACCGCAACCTCTGCCTCCTGGGTTCAGGCAATTCTCCTGCCTCAGCCTCCCGAGTAGCTGGGACTACAGGCACGTGCCACCGTGCCCAGCTAATTTTTATATTTTTAGTAGAGACGAGGTTTCACCATGTTGACCAGGATGGTCTCGATCTCTTGACCTCGTGATCCACCCACCTCGGCCTCCCAAAGTGCTGGGATTATAGGCATGAGCCACTGCGCCCAGCCTAGGGTGTTTTAAACTGTGCTTAAAATAATTTGTTACATGTTTTGTTGCTATGTAACTTTATTGAGGACAACTAATCTCTGTGTTCTTAAACATTTAACGATAATGATTAAGAAGCTTTATGATGCTGTTTATTATTCTTCCTTTTCTTGTAATATTATGTATTTAAATAAAATATTTATCTTCCAACTCTATTTGATGGAAAGCCTGTGGTTCTTTATATGTTTCAGATATTTCTGTAGGATTTGCAAGCAAGGGATTATCACCAAAGGAAACTAATAAAGAGGAATTTTACCATCTGGTAATACTAGAAAGAAAGGAAAGCCATGGCATCAACAGTTTTGACCTCAAGGAAGCCTGGGAACATGTGCATAAATGTGACAGCCTGTGGGAATATGATGCAAAAATTACAAAGGAGTGCCTTTGACCTGTAACAAAAATCTCACTCATAGAAAAGATCAACATGATAAATCCTCAATAAATTTCTCTTGGCCGGGCACGGTGGCTCATGCCTATAATCCCAGCACTTTGGGAGGCCGAGGTGGGTCGATCACGAGGTCAAGAGATTGAGACCATTCTGGTCAACGTGGTAAAACCCCATCTACTAAAAATACAAAAAATTAGCTGGGCATGGTGGCGCGTGCCTGTAATCCCAGCTACTCAGGGGGCTGAGGCAGGAGAATTGCCTGAACCCAGGAGGTGGAGGTTGCGGTGAGCCGAGATCACGCCATTGCACTCCAGCCTGGGTAGCAAAAGCGAAACTCCGTCTCAAAACGAAAAAAATTTCTCTTTAAAGCAGAGTGTTTCTATACGAGATAGTGCATATCAATATTTCACACATGACAAGCCATTTATAAGGAATTTGTTAAAACTGAAAAAATAACATAAGGTATGCTGGAAACAAATACGTGAAGTGTTTTGAAAACAGAATTGGATTAAGTTTACAGGCACCGCTGGCTGAACTACAGAGATTTCAAACTGGGAAGAAAATTTATGAATGTAATCCAGTTGAGAAGTTTATCAACAATAGTTCCCCAGTTTCACCAGTTCCTCCTAGTGTCAGAAACATTGGCAGTAAATACAGGAAGATTTTGAAATACAGCTTGTTACACAGTATGGGAGAGCGCACATTAGAGAAAAATCATACAAATGTAACGACTGTGGAAAGGCTTTTAGCAAAAGTTGGAACCTCACTAATCGTCAGAGAATTCATTCTGGACAGAGACCTTACAAATGTAATGTGTGTGGCAAAGCCTTTAACCAATGTTCAAACCTCACGACATCAGAGAGTCCATACAGGAGAGAAACCATATCAATATAATATATGTGGCAAGGTCTGTAGTCAGAATTCAAATCTTGCAAGTCATCAGAGAATGCATACTGGAGAGAAACCTTAGAAGCGTAATGAATGTGACAAAGCCTTTGCTGAGCTCTTACGCAACATAAGAGAATCCATACTGGAGAGAAGCCTTACATATGTAATGAGTGTGGCAGAGCTTTTTTTTATTATTATTTATTTTTTATTTTTGTTTTTGAGAGGGAGTTTCACTCTTGTTTACCCAGGCTGGCGATCTCGGCTCACCACAACCTCTGCCTCCTGGGTTCAGGCAATTCTCCTGCCTCAGCCTCCTGAGTAGCTGGGATTACAGGCACGCGCCACCATGCCCAGCTCATTTTTGTATTTTTAGTAGAGACGGGGTTTCACTATGTTGACCAGGATGATTTCGACCTCTTGACCTCGTGATCCACCCGCCTCGGCCTCCCAAAGTGCTGTGATTACAGGCGTGAGTCACCGCACCCGGCCGTGTGGCAGAGCTTTTAAGCAGTGCTCCCATCTCACTAGACATCAGAACGCACATCCTGGAGAGAAGCCACACAAATGTAATGTGTGTGGAAAGGCTTTCATCCAAAGTTCAAGTCTGTGGAACATCAGAGAATTCACAATGGAGAAAAACCTTACAAATGTAATAAATAAGGCTTTTAGCAAATATTCACACCTTCGGGGTCATCAGAGAACTCATACTGGAGAGAAACCTTACAAGTGTAATGAATGTGACAAAGCCTTTGCTGAGCGTTCAAGCCTTACGCAACATAAGAGAATCCATACTGGAGAGACCTTACAAGTGTGCTGAATGTGGCAAAGCGTTTACCCAGTTCGCAGACCTTGCTAGACATCAGAAAATACACATTGGAAAGGAATGTTGTAAACATAATATATATGGTGATGCTTTATTCCAAAGTTCAAGGCTTGGGGACCATCAAAAAATTTATAAAGAGAAAAATGTATCAAATATAAGGAGACAAAAATAAGTATTCAAGCTGTACTTGGCATCGGGGCTCCATTGTGAAAAGAAACCATATAAAACTGAAATAGGTGGTAAGGCCTTTAGCTGTGGCGTATACCTCACTCGAGATCAGAATGTGCATCTTTGAGATCAACCACATAAAGATAACACGTGTGGCAGGGCTTACCAAGGTTCAGGCCTTGTGGAACATGACAGAACCCTTACTGTAGAGAAGCCTTACGGATGTAATGAATGTGAACAGCTTTCTAAGAATATTTACACCAATGCGGTTATGACAGTACATTCAGGATGGAAACCATACAAATGTGGAAAGTCCTTTAAGCAACGTTCTGACCTTAAGCAACACCATTCATGTTGGAGAGAAACATTACAAATGAAGATGGCAAGTTATTTTAAACAAATTTCTCAGTGGGAATTTATGCTTATATGAAAGCATTTTGTCATACAAAAATTCATGCTAGAAGGAACTAAGTCTTTATTTCTTCCTGAAGATTAGATGACTGATGTTAAATCCACAGATGATTTTTAAAAGTCACTTAAAACTCGTGAGATGTGTGTCAGAGGAGCAAGGACATCTGTGGAAAGATCTAACTCTTCAGTTTTAAATTTTTTTTAATTCAATTATTTCATAGTTTTAAAGTGTTATTGATGAATTATTACAACTTGAAGTTTGAAATCTGTTGATGTTAAATCTTCATGGCATGCTTTTCATTTATCATGGTTGTCTCAAGGAATGGATTGGTAAGATGGAAGGGCCTACTTCCTTAGGTGTGGTTTATTTATATTATCGAAACCTGGAAAAAGCAAGAACACTAATTTTAATATACAATATACTATAAATTTAAGAGCGTGGGGGTGTGTAACGGAATAGAGGTAAAACTGTTGTCTAACATGCTTTATGTGGTCAGGACTCCTTAGATTTGTTGCTGTGACTGAGGACCTTTGTCTATTACGGGAAAGATAGGTTACACCACAAGATGATAATGAAATGAGGACTAGGGTGGGCCACTGAGAGAAAGATTTCTGTGGAAGTAAAATGGTAGGTTACTAGAGATTGCATATGTGATAGAAATGGAGGGGGAATGATGCTCACCCTCTCTTGAAAGGTAGTAGCTGTTGCATATCACAGATTATTGAAAGTAGGTCTTATTTTTGGAAACTGAAGAGCATGGCTAGAGAAAAGAGAGAAGTGACCACAGAGGACACTTCCATCAAAAGAAGCAGAATAGTGTGTGCTTATAAGGGATTCACATTTGGCCCCTGAGATTGCATTTGATACCATTTTACTTAGAATATATTATACTTCTCATGTCTTAATTAGTAGATTTTTTTTCTTTTTTTTGAGATGGAGAGTCACTCTGTCACCCAGGCTGGAGTGCAGTGGCTGGCACAATCTTGGCTCACTGCAACCTCCACATCCCAGGTTCAAGCCATTCTCCTGCCTCAGCTTCCCGAGTAGCTGGGACTACAGGTGCACGCTGCCACGTCCAGCTAATTTTTGTATTTTTAGTAGAGAAGGGGTTTCACCATATCGGTCAGGCTGGTCTTGAACTCCTAACCTCAGGCTATCCACCCACCTCGGCCTCTCAAAGTGCTGGGATTACAGGCATGAGCCACTGCACCCAGCACAAAGATTTTTAGTAACCCTGAATGAATCATGTGCCTTCTGTCAACCCAAGCATATCCCACCTTGTTGGAACGCTTAATATCAAACACTACAGTGCGTCTTTAGGCCCGCAAGGTTGAATGTCACCTGTAACAATTTCTATCCATGTTATGTTCAAACAGTATACAACTTGAGGAATATATGTTCATAAATTGCACTTGAAATGTTTTCTCCACACTCTGCCCCAGAGGAATTCTATGGCTGTAGTGAAAATGCCATGCCATAGTGGTACAGTATCAGACCTCTGAAACCTGCCTTCTCATTCATGAATATGCACTGTGTGATTATATTTCTACATGTCTTATTTCTGCAGGCCTTTGCAAGAATGGCTTGCACCTTCTTTTACATGAGATGAAAATACAAATGTAAGCATACAAAAATATTAGTAAACAAAATTTCTGGAGTAATAATAACCTAACTTCTTTTTTTTGTACTTGGAGCACTCCCTGAAGTAATTTGAAAAAATCAGTGTTCATGAAGTTTCCTTTTTTTTTTTGAGACAGTCTCACTCTGTTTCCTAGACTGGAGTGCAGTGACATGATGTTGGCTCACTGTAACCTCCACCTCCTGGGTTCAAGTGATTCTCCTGCTTCAGCCTCCTGAGAAGCTGGGACTGCAGGCACCCACAACCACGGGCCCACCTAATTTTTGTATTTTTAGTAGAGACGAGGTTTTCCTATATTGGTCAGGCTAGTCTCGAACTCCTGACCTTGTGATCTGCCCGCCTCGGCCTCCCAAAGTGCTGGGATTGCAGGTGTGAGCCACTGCACCCAGCCCTGAGTTTCCTCTTAATAATGAACATAGACAATGGGATTTTTTTTAAAGAATCCAGAAACCTCATATTTACCCCCAAAATATTTTTTTACTAATTTGTACTTGTGGCCACTTCACTGGAACAGGAGAGAACCCCATGCAGAGCTTGGTTTAGATCTTAGGATTGCTGGTACTCTACATCAAAGTGTGATAAGGATGTTTGTTACAAAAGGCTTTCTGGAGAGATCAGGGTAGACTTCCTAAGCTGGTTCAAAAATGGCTAGAGAAGGCAGTGAAAGATGGCTGACTTGGGGTGTTATGATATTTATCTGGTGGGGCTGGAGTGAGTACTCATCTTTGGTTTGAATTTCCAGCTAGTCATCTGGGCATGGACCTGTACTGTCAGCACTTTGAGAGGCTCAGGTGAGAGGATTGCTTGAGCCCAGGAGTCTGAGACTAGCATAGGCAA